CCGCCGCCACGCGCCCTCGCGCACGGCGTGCAGCAGCTGGAGGAGTTGGGCATCCTTCAGCCGGCAGAAGTGAATGCGGCGGAGGCCGGCGGCGAGGCGGGAGTGCTGCGCCGCTACGAGACGGCACGGCTCACCGCGAAGGGAGAGCTTGTGGCGTATCTGCCCCTCCCGCACGAGCAGGCGCTGCTGCTGTACTACGCGCTGCAGTTCGCCTGCGTGGAGGAAGCCATTCTCATTGCGTGTGCCATGACGGTGCCGGCGCTGCTCATGCTGCCACGCATGACGGCGCGTAGCGACGATGACACCAACGTCGACACGCCCGCGATGCAGTACCTGCATTCTCTGAGGTCGCAGCGCAACTTGGCATCAGCGGCAACAGTAACCACAACAGTTAATCCCGGTGGTGGGGCGGAAAGTGGCGGCCACCACCTCAGTGAGCCGCTCATGCTGCGGTCGCTGCTGTGCGAGTGGTACGCTTGCACCAGCAACGCCGATGTCGTGGCGTTCCAGAACAAGTACCGCGTGAACCGCAGCGCCCTCCGCCTCGTCGACAGCGCTGTGGCGCAGTGCGCTGAACGTCTCTCTCGTCTTATTGCCCCAGACAGTCCAAACAGCAGGAGCAGCAGTGGGATACAAGACGGCGCAGAGGAGCTTTGCGGCGAACACGACGTGGCGGTGCGGCGGCCGAGCACGCAGGCGGTGGCGCAGCTTATCGATGCCACACTGCCGCAGACGTACCGCACCGTGTTGACTAACTCCCTGCTGCGCCTGCGCCGCTGCGCGCTGGAGCACGCTGGCCACCGCCTCTCGCAGAGGTTCGGCTCCATGACGCATTGGTACCCGCAGGACGAGCAACTCATGCGGCAGCTGCAGCCACAGGTCGGCAGAAGAAGGGGCGGCAGCAGCAAAAGCAGGCCAAAGTTGGCGCTCGGTGCGACGCAGCAGCGCCTCTGCGCTGCGTTTGTGGCCGCCTTCGCAAGGCACACGATGCGCGGCGAGGATGGCTCGCACCGCGTACACCACCGGCGACTCGTGCGCAACTTGGGCACGCTGCAGGAGGACGCGGATCGCACCTGCTCCTTTGGCATCGATATCCACGCGCAAAACCAGCAGCAGCAGCAGCAGCGGCAGGCTGCCGTTGGGGTGTCGCCGCACGATAGGTTGACGCCGGACGCACTGCGTTGTGTGTTGTCACCGTATTTGGCAGGGACGCAACTTTGCCAGCTAGAGCTCTTTGCTAATGGGCGCTCAGCGGTTGCGCGTTTTGGCGAGGACGCGGAAAATGGAGACAAGAAGGACGCAGAACTAGTGGACGAAGAAGGACGGAGTGTGGAGGTGCAGCGGCAGCAGGCACTTCTTGCGCCTTGCGTGCTGCCATTCGAGCCAGCCGCCGGGCCGGCGCAGTGTAGCGTTGTGTTGGCTCACATCGGCATCAGTCTTCTGGTGTCTATCCAGAGTGCTCTAACTCGTCTCACGCTGCTGCTGCCGCCGTCCTCTACACCGAGCAGCAGCAGCGGAAGGATAAACTCAGGCGATACGGCAGGCGTCAGCGTGACGAGGCCGGGGCAAAACACCGTCACCACCATCACCAGCTCGAACCGCGGTCTCCGCTTTACTTCACTGGACGAGGAGGGTCGGGACGCGCCGAACGTACGGGTCGCGTGGCACGACAGCTACGGCCAGGAATGTTTCCTGCTGCTGAGCGAGGTGCGGCACCTGGGGTACGAGAAGCTCTTCCCAACACCCTCGCCGACAACTGCGTCAGCTGCACACATCGCACCGGGCGCGGCGGCTGCAGGCAAGGAAAATGATGCTGCTGCTGCTGTGGTCGGTGCGGGCGTGGCAGGAGAAGCAGACATTTCTACCGGGGCCGCGAGTGGGAGTATGGACGAGCCCGTGTTGATGAGTGTGCAGCGTGTCTTCTTCACCCGTGCGGTGTGCTGGAAGGTGACGCTTCCGACTGCGCGGGTGGAGCCGTGGAGTGGGTCTTCTGTTGCCGCCTCGGATGACATGTGCCACTACTGCTGGGTGTGTCACAGCACGTGGCTGAAGGAGAGCGCATTCCGCTCACACTGCCGGTCGCTCGCGCACCTCAGTCGCCTCGCCCTTGTGGTGCGGCTTGGCATGCGCCGCGAGTGGGTGGCGGCGTTCAGTAGTGGCACAATGTCGGACCTGCTGCTCCGTTGCAGCAACAGCAACAGCGGTAATGGTAAGGGGATGGAAGTGGAGCTTCGGCACTGTACTGTGTCGTCCACATCTTTCCTCAACGCTCTGCAGTGGTGCCCGCGTGGCGATGAGGCGTCTGCCACGATGCCCATTGCCATTGCGGGCTCACTCGTGGCGAACGCAAGCGCAGCATTGGCGGAAGGAGGACTGCCGTCGTCTGGCAGCGGGCTTGCCCTGCAGGCGCTACATGTGTGGGTTCTCGACACTGACCAAGGAGCAACGGCAGGTGGAGCGCAGGCCGATTCGCTCACGAGCACGCACCTGCCGCTGTCACTGTTCGTGCTTGCTGGATACCTAGCGGCTGCCTCCTCCAGCTTCACCGCTGCGCTTCTGATGAACAGGGACCACTCGCGTGCACATGCGGTGATGCTGTACGACTGGGGTGTGTGGCGCTTCCCTATCCCACTCACACGTACGCAGCTGCGGAGTGTGTTCGAGGTGTTTGCGGGACGATCCTGGCGTGGTGTACCTGCAGATGACAGCGGTGGTGCTGCTCCTGATGTGGAGGATCATGATGCTGAGGGTGAGTCGTGCGGTGGTCAGGACGCGGAGGCGGACAGTTTGCATTGGTGCGTCGTCTCGGACAAGTGCCCACAGTGCACATACTGTGGGTGCGGTGGGAATGCCGTTGAGAAGACACTGCAGGACAAGCAGCAGCGCGACCTGCGCAGCGACGCCCCCTCAGCTGACGAGGTGGTGGAGAGCACACTCCTGCTCGTGCTGTACGAGTACAAGAACTCGCAGCGGAGCGTCGTTAGCTTCGCGGACTACACGCAACGGGTGGTAGCGAAGCTAAACGCCTGGTCTTTGTTGCAGCAGCAACAGCATGAGCATCAAAGGATGGACGCCACTGCTCGCGGCCACAAGCACGCCCCGTCAAGGCGAGCGGCTGCATCAGCGGCGGTGGAGTGGCGCGGGGGAGCGGAGCTGCTCGCGCGACTTGTGGCGCGCCGCCAGAATCAACCGCTCGAGTCGCTGCTGCGCGACCTTGGGTGTCAGTTCCTCACGCCGCCCACCGCACTCACGGCAGCTGCTGCTGCTGCACCGGCGGTGTCATTCAGTGCAAGTGCGCTGGCAGCGGAAGGCACCACGAACGAGAAGTTGTTTCTCCTCCCAAGGGTGCTTCCGAGTTATTTGCCGTCGCCGGACTTTGCCGCTCTGCTGCGTCGTCACCGGCAGTCGGTGCGGGACTCGCCTGCTGTTCGCAAGGGTGCTGCGTTGATGGCAAGGGAGAAGCAAGGCACGGCGGTAGCAGCAGCAGCAGCAGCAGGCGTGCCGCAGCAGCCATCATTCTAAGGCTGCGTGGTGTGTGAGTTCCGCCTTCTGTATGTTAACGCAGAATGCCGTTGTATTATGCACCGACTCTTTTATGTGAGCGCATGCTGCGCGTGTCACTAGTTGTGCTATTCTCTGCTGCTGTCCATTCTTGTTCTCGTGCTGGCATCACTCAGGCATTTGCAGGGAAGAAAAGAGATAAGCAGAAGAGAGACTGAGAGGGAAGTGGCCCATATCGTGATGCGGGTCGTTGTGCCATTGATGGTGCGTCGGAGCCGGGTGTCAGCGGCCGTCGTGCGCCGCTGCTCGTGTTGTGCATTGTGCAGCTCCAGCGTATCTTCATCACTGCAGCAGCAGCAGTCGTTCCGTCGCACAAGGCGTACAAACTACGCGGATCGTGAGCGCGTACTTTCCTCGGGTGTGCTCAACGCCACAAGTACTGCGTCAGCCGGGGCGGGTCCCAGTGCGACCACTACAACTGTTGAGGCTGCTCCTGCTGTTCACACGGAGCGCCCAGCGCCCTCGCGACTCGACGAGGCGGCGCTGCGCAAGTCTGCACTTGTCCTCAATGCGCTGGCGACGCCGGTGATGGGCCGGCTGGTGTATGGCTGCCTCAGCGCTATGGCATACGTGCGCTACGGCGTTGGGCGCGTGTCGTTCTACACGCGGCACAGCAATGCGCCCCCACTGCCTGCTGCCGCCACCGTGACAGACGGCCGAGAGACGTCCACGGCGCTGCGGCAGCTCATTGAGATGGGCGCCTACGGTCAAGCAGCGGCGGCAACAGCGGCGGCAGAGCGAGGCGGCACGACCAGCAGCGGGAGCAACAGTGCCGGGGAAACGCCGCTCTTCCGCGGCCTGCTGCACGGTGTGACGCTGGACTGCGTGCGCGTTGGGCTGAGCAAGATTCACAGCCGTGGCCTCGTGGCGTCGCGCGACATTCCGCGAGGCACGCGCATCATCACGGAGCCGCAGCGCAGCTTCATGGACGCGGCGAACTTTGTCCCGCTGCTCGCTGACACCCACACGCGCCTCCCCGACACGTGGCACTACACGCAGCCCTCCGGCGTGCTGCTGGAGCTCGTCACGCAGCCGCAGCCACATCATCTCATGAACCACAGCTGTGACCCCAACGTGTGCGCCGGACTCTCGCGCGACTTCTGGCCCGCCGCCGCTGCTGCTGCTGCTGCTGGCAGCCGCGAACTGCTCGACCGCATCGAGCACTTCCCGCACTTCGACGACCCCAACAGTTTCTTCACCACCCGCGACGTGCAGGCGGGGGAGGAGCTGACGCTCAGCTACGCTCACCGTGTGGCACCGCTCTTCCACGGCGAGGACCCGCTGCAGAAGTTCTTCGTGGTGTGCCGCTGCGGCTCCGGCGTGTGCCGCCACTTCGTCTACCGCCCGCCCGAGGCTGTCGCGCGCCACCTCGCCACACGCCCGAAGTGTAGCGACGCCATAGAGGAGCTGGCGCAGCTGCTGCGGCTGGGCTTTGACGACGAGACGGTGATGCTGTCGCTGCTGTCGTCGCGGGCGCCGCTGCTCGCGTACATGCGCGCTCACCTTGCCGCGTCCCGTCGCACCACAACGAAGGGCGAGCTGCTGATGTGCTACAGGCACGTGTTCAAGCTGCTCAACGAGGCGGCGCCGAGAGCGTGACGTTTTGGTCCGTCTCTGGCGCTGGAAAGGGTGAAATCACACACAGTGGTGTGCAAAGGTGGCGTGGAGAGAAACAGAAGCCTCCTTGTTGTATATATATATATTTATTTATTTATTTATTTATATATGTCTGTGTCTATGCTGTGTGTATGTTGCACGCGCAGCCCATCTCTTTGTTTCTCGATCTTGATCCTTTCCTCATGGCAATACGGATGCTGTTGATATGCGGCAGCCGAAGCAGCCACCAGTATAGATAGAGAAGAGTGACTGCGGGATGAGCAGCGGCGACGGTGGCGGCTCCTCTGCTGACGTCTCCATATTGGTGATGGAAACGAAGTCACAAGATTCATCGCTGGATAGAATCGTTAGGCGGAAACAGCAGCCGCTGCCTCTTCCTCCGCGTGCGGGAAGCAGCAGCCATAGCAATGTGGGTGATGGCATTGGGGCTGTGGCAAGCGGCAGCGAAAATAGCGCCGTGGTAGAGGTTGCAAGAGACGATGGGCACACGCGTGTTGCTGTTGCGCAGTGGGGTGGCAGCGAGGCAGACCACACAGACGGCGCCGACAACGGCGACGGCGACGGCGATGATGACATGGCAGAACGCATCCTCCAGACGCTCCAGTGCAAGGACGAGCTGCTGGCGGAGCAGGCCCGCTGTGTGGAGCGGCGTGAGGCGGAGGCGGCGCAGCTGCGGCACGAGGTGGCAGAGCTGCAGGAAGAGCGGCGCCTGCTCACGCAGCAGCTGCGAAGTTTCCTCGCCGGCAACACCCCCATTGCAGCCCCAGCAGCGAGCGAAGGGGCAGGAGGAATAGAGACAGCCGAGGCGGCACACCATCACCAGCAGGGGCGTGGCGGGCCACTGGCGGAGCAGGCGCTGCTGCTGCAGTGCGTCGACTCGCAGCTGCAGGACGAGCGGGTGGAGCGGCGGCAAGACGCCGGCAACTTCTGTGCCCACATCGCCCAGCTCACTGCGCAGCTTACTCAGGCGCGGCGCGATGCAAAGGCGCGGGAGGCCAAACACGCGCG